AGCTAGGCTCTGGCTGCAAGCAAAAAGCTAATTTAGCTGGCTAGCTAGCTACCCAGTAGCTATCATTAGCCAGTTAATATAGTTAACTTTGGCTATCTAGCTAACGAGCTAAGTTTAGCTAGCTCGTTAGCATAGCTACAGAGACATAACAAACTTGTCATTGAGCTTTATCCATTATTTAGTTAATTATAGATAATATTTTAATTGTAACTAGCTAGGTAATACCTTTTGCTACGTCAGATCCCTGCTCGTGCGCCTCCAGTAGTTTGCAAACACTGCATTCATGGTACGTCACAGACACCGCTATGGGTACATCTCAATACGTTTTTACTTCCTCGACTCTTTCCACTACTTCATCTGTAAAACCACAGTTATGAATATAGAACAAGCCTAGACTAGTCTAGTCCAAAACTGTATTATTTCACTGTCAATGCTAGAAACAACCCCTACTTATACAGGAAACACGTTTCACACCATTTCGATAAAGAAGTGACTTTTTCATAGCAGGTTAGGATAATTTATGCAGCAGGTTATGAGAATGAGCATAGGAGACAGGCTGAGGTTAAGGTTAGGAAAAGGGTTAGGGTTAGCGAAAATGCTTTCCTAACCTGCAACGAAAGTCACTTAATGTTGAAGTTGCTGAAAAAGAGTGTGCCCCCCTACTTCTAAGCATTTGTGTTGATCTGAAAGGTTTTGATAGTACTGAATAGGAGGTGTAACAAATGCTACCCATTTGTGACAGGACATGACCCCAAGTTTTGTTCAGTGTTTCCCAGGGGATTCTAATTGGTGTAAAAGGTATAAAACCATCCCTTCCTTCTCTTCCTGCTCTTCTGCCTTAACCTATTATATCATTTTAATACTTAGATAAGATCTCCCCCTCCTGGACATATGCTAAATTACTTAAATCTAATTCTACACATTTTGTCATGGGGCAGAGATTTTGTTGTTGTTGCAGCTTTAACGCTAATATCCTGCAGAGGCAGAGAGACAGGTTTTGGGGAATACAAGAAGTATTGAGTGGATACCGATATCCCTGTGAGCCTCCCAGGCCCCTGTTGCCCAGGGTTAAGAACATAAATTGTAGATTAATAATATTACATTTTATTGTATTACACACCCTAAAATTATTCCACGGATCCCTTGGCCAACATTTGTTTAATCTGTTGTTGTTAGCAATATTCATTTAAAAAATCCTAAAACAAAAATGATTTCAATACTAATATTTTGAGATCTGGCCAAGGACCCCACTTTGAGAAACCCTGCTGTAAATAACTCACAGCCAACATACAGGTCTATTACCTAGCTATAGGCCTACTTATTACTTCATTTACATTTTAGTAGACGCTCTTATCCAGAGCGACTTTCAGTTAGTGAATACATATTTTTTTATACTGGCCCCCCGTGGGAAACGAACCCACAACCCTGGCGTTGCAAACGCCATGCTCTATCAACTGAGCTACATCCCTGCCGGCCATTCCCTCCCCTACCCTGGACGACGCTGGGCCAATTGTGCGCCGCCCATGAATCTCCCGGTCGCGGCCGGCTGCGACAGAGCCTGGATTCGAACCAGGATCTAGTGGCACAGTTAGCACTGCGATGCAGTGCCTTATACCACTGCGCCACTCAGGAGTTAGATTATATGGAGTTAGATTATACTTCAGGTATTCATGTTTCATCAATGAAATGTATGTTTCATCAATTAAATGCTTTGTTACTTTGCAACAACATATGTTGAACTTTATTGAGGGGCCTCTGTTTAAATAATATCTCAGCAATCAATGTTGGTTTAAATCCATATAATCTATTTTCTATATTTAAACTATGAAATACAAATGTGCAATCCTTGTTCATACTCACACAGTTTTCATGCTGCCCAGGACAATATTGCTCTGCTAGACTGGCCTCCCGAGTGGCGCAGTGGTCTAAGGCGAGCTGTGCCACTGCCCAGGACAATATTGCTCTGCTAGACTCCCGAGTGGCGCAGTGGTCTAAGCAGTGCTAGCTGTGCCACTAGAGATCCTGGTTCGAATCCAGGCTCTGTTGTAGCCGGCCGCGACCGAGAGACCCATGGGGCGGCGCACAATTGGCCCAACGTCTTCCAGGGTAGGGGAGGGAATGGCCGGCAGGGATGTAGCTCAGTTGGTAGAGCATGGCGTTTGCAACGCCAGGGTTGTGGGTTCGATTCCCACTGGGGCCGGGAAAAAAATGTATGCACTCACTAAACTCTGCATAAGAGCGTCTGCTAAATGACTAAAATGTGAAGCTACAATAAGGATTCGCCACATTAGTGGAATTTGTGGTTTGCCTTCAAAATAAAAGTCCCTCATTGAAAGTGATGCATATAGTGGAATCATGCCATATTTGGACTATATAATGCTAAACAAGGTTGGAATGTTGTTATACAATAATAAGGTAATTTGACACAAAAGTACAACTGTTGTAATTGCACTGTGGATCTATCAGAATTCAGAATTGCATTGAGGACATAGTTATATTTCATTGTGGATCAATTAAATGGAGTATCAGTCTTATCAGTGACACCCACAGAACACAACTGTAAAGAGTTTACACAAATATTAGCGTTGTTGTGTTCTGTAAGGCTGTACAGTGAAATACGTATGTCCAATATACGTACAGTTGAAGTCGGAAGTTTACATACACTTAGGTTGGAGTCATGAAAACTCGTTTTTCAACAACCACACATTTCTTGTTAACAAACTATAGTTTTGGCAAGTTGGTTAGGACATCTACTTTGTGCATGACACAAGTAATTTTTCCAACAATTGTTTACAGACTATTTCACTATTTCACTTATAGTTCACTGTATCACAATTCCAGTGGGTCAGATGTTTACATACACTAAGTTGACTGTGCCTTTAAACAGCTTGGAAAATTCCAGAAAATGATGTCAAGGCTTTAGAAGCTTCTGATAGGCTAATTGACATAATTTGAGTCAATTGGAGGTGTATTGTAGACCACCACAAGTCTGGTTCATCCTTGGGAGCAATTTCCAAACGCCTGAAGGTACCACGTTAATCTGTACAAACAATAGTACGCAAGTATAAACACCATGGGACCACGCAGCCGTCATACCGCTCAGGAAGGAGACGCGTTCTGTCTCCTAGAGATGAACATACTTTGGTGCGAAAAGTGCAAATCAATCCCAGAACAACAGCAAAGGACCTTGTGAAGATGCTGGAGGAAACAGGTACAAAAGTATCTATATCCACAGTAAAACGAGTTCTATATCGACATAACCTGAAAGGCTGCTCAGCAAGGAAGAAGCCACTGCTCCAAAACCGCCATAAAAATGCCAGACTACGGTTTGCAACTGCACATGGGGACAAAGATCGTACTTTTTGGAGAAATGTCCTCTGGTCTGATGAAACAAAAATATAAATGTTTGGCCATAATGACCATCGTTATGTTTGGAGGAAAAAGAGGGTAGCTTGCAAGCCGAAGAACACCATCCCAACTGTGAAGAACGGGGGTGGCAGCATCATGCTGTGGGGGTGATTTGCTGCAGGAGGAAGGAAAATGATGTGGATATATTGAAGCAACATCTCAAGACATCAGTCAGGAAGTTAAACCTTGGTCGCAAATGGATCTTCCAAATGGACAATGACCCCAAGCATACTTCCAAAGTTGTGGCAAAATGGCTTAAGGACAACAAAGTCAAGGTATTGGAGTGGCCATCACAAAGCCCTGACCTCAATCCTATAGAAAATTTGTGGGCAGAACTGAAAACCGTGTGCGAGCAAGGAGGCCTACAAACCTGACTCAGTTACACCAGCTCTGTCAGGAGGAATGGGCCAAAATTCACCCAACTTATTGTGGGAAGCTTGTGGAAGGCTACCTGAAACATTTGACCCAAGTTAAACAATTTAAAGGCAATGCTACCAAACACTAATTGAGTTTATGCAAACTACTGATCCACTGGGAATGTGATGAAAGAACTAAAAGCTGAAATAAATCATTATCTCTACTATTATTCTGACATTTCACATTCTTAAAATAAAGTGGTGATCCTAACTGACCTAAGACAGGGAATTTTTACTAGGATTAAATGTCAGAAATTGTGAAAAACTGAGTTGAAATGTATTTGGCTAAGGTGTATGTAAACTTCCGACTTCAACTGTAGTAGGTTGACTGGTAAGCTTAATGTGGCGCATTTCACAGGGATAGAAATAGGAGCTACGATGCTAATATTTGTATAAACTCTCCACAGCTGTGTTCTGTGGGTGTCACCTGAGTAGACTGATACCACATTTCATTGATCCACAATCCATAGACAAGGAAGGCTGTACAGTGAAATATGAATGTCAATACGCGCAATAGGCTGACTGGGGAGGTCCCGCAATAAGAGCTACGACGCTAATATTTGTGTAGACTGATACCCAATTTCAATCCATAGGTAAGACTGCACAGTGAAATATAAGTATGCCCCAATGCAATTCTGAAGTCTAATACATCCATTCCACACTGCCATTCCAACTGATTTTTTTGTCAAATTAGTTCATTATTTAATTTTGTTTAATTTAAATTTCAACATTCAAAACTTGTTTAGTATTATCTAATCCAAATATGTCACGATTCCACTATTTGTATCCATTTTCATCTTTCAATTAGGGAATTATATTTTGAAGGAGAACAGCATATTCTGCTATTGTGGCTAATCCTTATTGTGGTTAGCTTCACATAGGTCCCACTGAGTTATAATAAAATCGGCATTCACCCTCACCAAAAGTTTACCCAAAGCTTTTTATCGCCTTCCCTATTCCCGACTAGATTTCGGGCTTAACTTTTACTGCACATGCTGCACCCTCCTTTTTGCAGAAGTGACCTAAACCCAAGTTTACATTTGATTATATTCAATCACATGTCGGGTAGTAGCCTACACCTATGGGAAGTGTGACGATGGAGCAGTTACTTCGTTGAGAGTGAATACTTGGAGGTGTAATAGCCTAGCATACTAGTCACAGTATTCAGGGAAGATCATGGCGGCGGTGGAGGTGAGTGTGAGTAGCGGCAGTAGTGACACATCTAGCACCGGCGAAGACGAGAGGATGAGGCGATTGTTTCAGACTTGTGACGGTGACGGTGATGGATACATCAACAGGTAAAACTATTTTTTATCAACGACACGGTGGGGTTAGAATTGAAGGCTACCAAATGCAGATTAACAGATTTTTCAGACATGTATATACGAGATGGAAATATAATAACTTGTTTAGCAAGCAAGCTATGCTTTGCTCTAGTTTTGTAATGTCAGCAAATTGCCAGTGACTTCCATAGTGAACAAGTTCTCGGATTTTGTTTCGTGCACTTCGAACCATGCTCAGTCTCGAAAACTGGCAACGGCAAACTAGCTAAAAACAGCTGCATTGCCATGGAAGTGTTGGCTTGAGTTTTTGAAAACAACTCAAAATGTAATATGACGATGGAAATGTTGCAACAGTGAATTTAGTTGAAACTAAGAATGTAGCTAGCTAACTAAAAGCTGTACTCCAGACTATCATACTCATAGACTAGTTCCAAACTAGAAGAACCTGTTGGCCAATAGCATGTTTCCTATTATGTGGGTAATATCATAATCATAACCATCCAGTTTGAACTTGTTACAATAAAATGGATGGACATAGTTTATGTTCTAATAGCTTATGCACTGAGTCATGTTGTTCAGAGTCAGAACTGCTTTCACACATGTTCATTGACGAGGCCTACTGCATATTATAAATAAACACCAACCCTCCAACTTAGATCACAGCAACTGTATTTGATGCAGCATCCAAAGACCTTTTACATTTCATGTTCAGGCTACAGCAAAGTGGCATGAGCCAGGCAAGATCATAGAGAAGACTCCTGAGCACAGGGAACTGAAACATTTGTCCATACCTCGGGAATAGGGAATCTAGGCCTATTCCTATCCTAACATAGTCTTGTGAGTGTGAGTTATGGTGTCAGTAAGTTATTCAGTTACAGTTTACACAGCGATATGAGTTATAATCACAGTGGTGGTCTGTAATTATAAAATGCTTATGAACTCTGAAGTGTTGAATGTTCTTTCTTGGCTGTAAAGTAGGCATGCTTCAGGCTATATACAGGCAGCGAGAGCGGTGAGGAAAATTAAAACATGCAGGAGAGGAGAGCTTAAGAGCATTGGTTACTTTTGACTCAACTCAAACACATCTGTTATTTTTCAGTCATCTCTTTTCAGTCATCTCTTGAGAAGCCCATGGTTTGCTTAGTCACTTGAGATGCATGTTTTAATGTATATATACTACCAGTCAAAAGTTTGGACACACCTACTCATTCAAGGGTTTTTCTTTATTTTTAAAATGTTTTACATTGTAGAATAATAGTGAAGACATCAAAACTATGAAATAACATATATGGAATCATGTAGTAACCAAAAAAGTGTTAAACAAATCCAAATATATTTTATATTTGAGGTTCTTCAAATAGCCACCCTTTGCCTTGATGACAGCTTTGCACGCTCTTGGCATTCTCTCAACCAGCTTCACATGGAATGCTTTTCCAACAGTCTTAAAGGAGTTCCCACATATGCTGAGCACTTGTTGGCTGCTTTTCCTTCACTCTGCCGTCCGACTCATCCCAAACCATCTCAATTGGGTTGAGGTCGGGGGATTGTGGAGGCCAGGTCATCTGATGCAGCACTCCATCACTCTCCTTCTTGGTCAAATAGCCCTTACACAGCTTGGAGGTGTGTTGGGTCATTGTCCTGTTGAAAAACAAATTATAGTCCCACTAAGCCCAAACCAGATGGGATGGCGTATCGCTGCAGAATGCTGTGGTAGCCATGCTGGTTAAGTGTGCCTTGAATTCTAAATAAATCACAGACAGTGTCACCAGCAAAGCACCCCCACACCATAACACCTCCTCCTCCAAGCTTTACGGTGGGAACTACACATGCGGAGATCGGCCGTTCACCCACACTGCGTCTCACAAAGACATGGCAGTTGGAACCAAAAATCTCAAATTTGGACTCCAGACCAAAGGACAGATTACCACCCGAGTGGCGCAGTGGTCTAAGGCACTGCATCGCAGTGCTAGCTGTGCCACTAGAGATCCTGGTTCGAGTCCAGGCTCTGTCGCAGCCGGCCGCGACCGGGAGACCCATGGGCGGCGCACAATTGGTCCAGCGTCGTCCAAGGTAGGGGAGGGTTTGGCCGGCAGGGATGTGGGTTCGTTTCCCACGGGGGGCCAGTATAAAAAAACAAAAACAAAAAAACAACAACAACAAAAAAACACGTATGCATTCACTAACTGTAAGTCGCTCTGGATAAGAGCGTCTGCTAAATGACTAAAATGTAAATGTAAAATGTCTAATGTCCATTGCTTGTGTTTCTTGGCCCAAGCAAGTCTCTTCTTCTTATTGGTGTCCTTTAGTAGTGGTTTCTTTGCAGCAATTCGACCATGAAGGCCTGATTTACACAGTCTCCTCTGAACAGTTGATGTTGAGATGTGTCTGTGACTTGAACTCTGTGAAGCATTTATTTGGGCTGCAATTTCTGAGGCTGGTAACTCTAATGAACTTATCTTCTGCAGCAGAGGTAACTCTGGGTCTTCCTTTCCTGTGGCGGTCCTCATGAGAGCCAGTTTCATCATAGTGCTTGATGGTTTTTGCGACTGCACTTGAAGAAATGTTCAAAGTTCTTGACATTTTCCGTATTGACTGACCTTCATGTCTTAAAGTAATGATGGACTGTCATCTCTCTTTGATTATTTGAGCTGTTCTTGCCATAATATGGACTTGGTCTTTTACCAAATAAGGCTATCGTCTGTATACCCCCCCTACCTTGTCACAACACAACTGATTGGCTCAAACGTATTAAGAAGGAAAGAAATTCCACAACTTAACCTTTTAAGAAGGCATACCTGTTAATTGAAATGCATTCCAGGTGACTACCTCATGAAGCCGGTTGAGAGAATGCCAAGAGTGTGCAAAGCTTTCAAGGCAAAGGGTGGCTATTTGAAGAATCTCAAATATAAAATATATTTGGATTTGTTTGACACTTTTTTTGTTACTACATGATTATTTCATAGTTTTGAGGATAACACAGTGCCACTGACGCGGCCCGCTCCCAAGGACTGTGGGCTCTCGTTCTCCGTGGCCGACGTGAGTAAGACATTTAAGCGTGTTAACCCTCGCAAGGCTGCCGGCCAAGACGGCATCCCTAGCCGCATCCTCAGAGCATGCGCAGACCAGCTGGCTGGAGTGTTTACGGACATATTCAATCTCTCCCTATCCCAGTCTGCTGTCCCCACTTGCTGCAAGATGTCCACCATTGTTCATGTACCCAAGAAAGCAAAGGTAACTTAACTAAATGACTATCGCCTCGTAGCACTCGCTTCTGTCATCATGAAGTGCTTTGAGAGGCTAGTTAAGGATCATATCACCTCTACCTTACCTGCCACCCTAGACCCACTTAATTTGCATACCGCCACAATAGATCCACAGACAATGCAATCGCCATCGCACTGCGCACTGCCTTATCCCGTCTGGACAAGAGGAATACCTATGTAAGAATGCTGTTCATTGACTATAGCTCAGCCTTCAACACCATAGTACCCGCCAAGCTCGGGGCCCTGGGTCTGAACCCCGCCCTGTGCAACTGGGTCCTGGACTTCCTGACGGGCCGCCCCCAGGTGGTGAAGGTAGGAAACAACACCTCCACTTCGCTGATCCTCAACACTGGGGCCCCACAAGGGTGTGTGCTCAGCCCCCTCCTGTACTCCATGTTCACCCATGACTGCGTGGCCACGCACGCCTCCAACTCAATCATCAAGTTTGCAGACGACACAATAGTAGTAGGCCTGATTACCAACAATGACGAGATGGCCTACAGGGAGGAGGTGAGGGCCCTGGAGGAGTGGTGCCAGGAAAATAACCTCTCCCTCAACGTCATCAAAATGAAGGAGCTGATCGTGGACTTCAGGAAAAGCAGAGGGAGCACACCCGTATCCACATCGACGGGTCCGCAGTGGAGAAGGTGAAAAACGTCAAGTTCCTCGGCGTACACATCACTGACAATCTGAAATGGTCCACCCACACAGACGGTGTGGTGAAGAAGGCGCAACAGTGCCTCTTCAACCTCAGGAGGCTGAAGAAATTCGGCTTGGCCCCTAAGAACCTCACAAACTTTGACAGATGCACAATTGAGAGCATCCTGTCGGGCTGTATCACCGCCTGGTACGGCAACTGCACCACCCGCAACCGCAGGGCTCTCCAGAGCGTGGTGAGGTCTGCCAATTGCATCACCGGGGGCACACTGCCTGCCCTCCAGTACACCTACAGCACCTGATGTCACAGGAAGGCCATAAAGATCATCAAGGACATCAACCACCCGAGCCACGGCCTGTTCACCCCGCGACCATCTAGAAGGCGAGGTCAGTACAGGTGCATCAAAGCTGGGACCGAGAGACTGAAAAACAGCTTCTATCTCAAGGCCATCAGACTGTTAAATAGCTATCACTAGCCGACTACCACCCGGTTACTCAACCCTGCACCTTAGAGGCTTCTGCCCTATATACATAGACATGTAATCACTGGTCACTTTAGTAATGGAACACTAGTCACTTTAATAATGTTTACATACTGCTTTACTAATTTCATATGTATATACTGTATTCTATTCTACTGTATTTTAGTCAATGCCACTCCGACATTGCTCGTCCTAATATTTATATATTTCTTATTTATTTTACTTTTAAATTTGTGTGTATTGTTGTGAATTGTTAGATACTACTGCACTGTTGGAGCTAGGAACACAAGCATTTCGCTACACCCGCAAAAACATCTGCTAAATGTGTGATGTGACCAATACAATTAGATTTGATATATTGCTCTAATTGTATTCCTTTCCACATCATCTAGGAAACCTATTTGCCCCCTCCAAACCTGTCCTAATATTTATTTATTTTCACTCTTTTGAGAATTGAAGACAATTTCTCAGGCTGGTGCCCTGGCTAATGTATCAGAAATTCAGCTTGGTACTGCAACTTGTACACCACTCTTCAATTGAAAACCATGTTCTTCTTCTCCATGTCCTTCTCCTCCTGTCCCTCCATATCTCTTTCTCTCTCTCTCTGCCCTTTTACCTCTGCCTCTCTCTCTTCTTTTCTCTCTGCCTCTCCTTCACCATGTCCCTCCTGATTTCTCCCTGTTTCTTTGCCTATCTCCATACTTTTCCTCCTGCCTCTATCTCCTTCCCTCTTCTTTTCCATCTCCCTTTCCATCCTTCTCTCCCTCTCTCCTGTTAGGAATGACCTGCTGATGGTGTGCAGACAGCTAAACATGGAGGGGTCTGTGGCAGAGATCATGGGCCAGCTGGGAGCGGACGAGCGAGGCAAGATCTCCTTTGAGGACTTCACCCGCTGCCGCATGCAGCTGGTCAACGAGATCCGAAAGGAAGAGGGCGAGATCTCCCAACGCTCCCAGGACTCTGACACTAGGAAGCTCAGGGAACACATCGCCTCCTGGCCAACCAGTAGCGAGATTAGCCGTGGTGAGTTTGGGGATAGCCTATCAAGATTAGGCAGAATTGTGAGTTACATTGTTAAACAAGAGACACAATTAATCACAGCTGCCTACAAGCATAAAACCAACTAAGAACAGGCAACACCAAACAACTAAACCTAACACCCAACATCCAACAACTAACTGCAAACAACCACTAACCCTTATTACACAGTCATTATTAACCATAAACAACTGACACCAAACCGCTAAGATGAAACAACCAAAACAGATCCTGCATGACTGAGGCTAGGGTTTTTAGCTCTGTTGCTAAACCTTCAGTAACATTTGTTTTTAATTGGCCGTTCTAAATAGGGGCCTCTGGAGCATCAGCCAGTGCTCATTATTGTGGAATGAAAGGAGAGCATAATGACCAGGCATGTTTACCCCATTTTATAGTGACTAATTCAATCTACCTAACTCAGCCCACTTCACATGTGCATGAAACCACTTCAAAAGTAATCCACAGAGAATAAAGAAAAAACTGAAGTCTACTTGCATAGGGAAGCAGTAATGCATGCAAACGTTTTTAGACTCTTGAGGTTCTCTTTAGGCAGATCTGGTTGGGAGTGTCAAACCTTCACACTGCTTATTAGTTATGAGTTATTACCTGTTAGCTATCGAGTTATAATGTGTCCCCTATGGGCCTTGTCAGGAGCCAGAGAGAGCTGGGAGTACTACTCTGGGGCCCGGGACCTTCAGAGTTCAGACATCCAGCCTCAGCAGACACAGACCCAGCAGCAGCCAGCCATCCTCCAGAAGCTCCTGGAACAGCCTGGGACTGTCCTAGAACAGCAGGCTGCCCTTCATAAACTCCTGGCCCAGACCAGTGCCCGCTGTGCCCCCCTGGCAGGAAACTACCTGGAGCTGGCCAACACAGTGAGTAGACCGCTGTTGATGCTGATGAATGCTGAGTGCATACTGCATAGTGCTGGTGGTAGCATTTGATGGATTCCTGATATGTTGCCTTTAGAATTATCTTGTGAGCCACCCAATGACCAAAATAGTTGTTTCTAGTCAAAAGCCAGTCTGCGACTCAGTATGTATTGGCTGCTGGTGCCACCCACCATTTGGTGAACACTGATATAGGACCGAAGCACATCACCTATAAGATCAGATACTACTTAGCCTCTGAGTTACTGGACGTTTACTTCCAACGATGAAGGAATGAATGTGCAATGAATGGTGGAGTCTGGAGATATTGTATTTACAGAAATACAGGCACCTCCAACACTCATACACAGTTTAGTTGGTAACACACAGAACCCTAAGAAGTGTTGTGGTGCTGTGTGAAAGTTGAACTGTTGAACATCAATATAATAGGGGTAAATGAATGAATGATAGGTGTAGTAAGCATGGTTATGAAGCAGAGGGCAGCGCTGCTCATGATTACTCAATCTACTCGCATTCTCCTCTCCTGCTTAGAGCAGCCACTGGGCCTGTATGGCTTGACATCATTACATTTACATTTTAGTCATTTAGCAGACGCTCTTATCCAGAGCGACTTACAGTTAGTGAATACATATATATATATTTTTTATACTGGCCCCCCGTGGGAATCGAACCCACAACCCTGGCATTGCAAACGCCATGCTCTATCAACTGAGCTACATCCCTGCCGGCCATTCCCTCCCCTACCCTGGACGACGCTGGGCCAATTGTGCGCCGCCCATGAGTCTCCCGGTCGCAGCCGGCTGCGACAGAGCCTGGATTCGAACCAGGATCTCTAGTGGCACAGCTAGCACTGCAATGCAGTGCCTTAGACCACTGCGCCACTCAGGAGTACAGTGATCTATGGATCATGGTACCCCCTCCTTATTTACATTTACATTTTAGTCATTTAGCAGACGCTCTTATCCAGAGCGACTACAGGAGCATTTAGGGTTAAGTGCCTTGCTTAAGGGCACATCGACAGATTATGGTTAGTATTTGAAGATACTGGTCCTAACTGCGACACCATTCCTGTGTCTTTACTCTTCAACAAGATAACTGTCAAACCTACAGACCTCTTCTGACTCTAGAACCACATTGGGGTATCGCAATACTTTTTATGCTTGGTCTGGGTAGGGATTCCAACACTCCCTGTGTTGACCTTGGCTCTCCCTGTCACTTAGCGTTAAGGGGTATCATCATCAGGGTATCCGTATAATCTCTATCACCTCCCCTGAGCAGTAATCACACCCCTTCATTAATGCATCCATATTTATTATTCATCACATTGAGCTGTCTCATGAGCTGTCATATATCCTTCCTATATCAGGTTTCAGGGCTGGGCGCCTTTATGGACCCATATAAATCATTTAGTCATTTATTACGGAGATTCACATCATGACACCGTCCCTCTGTAGATTAGCACAGGCACCGGAGAGAATGGGAGGTTAAATGCGATCGGTTGTGAGTGACAGAGAGTGATGTTTGTGTCTGATGGAGAAAGTGTAGTCACTAGTCACTTTCCAGCTCTAACCATTATGTGGGATATGGTGCAGTGGTGTAGCAACCATTTTTAGCCCCCCCACGCAATTAGGAGTCCCACTTTACGGGTTTGTCCTGCTGGTGCTGTGTTTAATGTGGCCCCCGGGCTTCGATTACAGCCCTAATGGAACATCTGGTTGCTGACACGGGGAGGCCGTGAAACTATCAATGCTTTTGGTTCTCTGTAGGTCGAAAAGTGACTTTATGGACATGGTCCCTGTCATGTTTTGGGATGTTTTCAGAATAGGGGGAGCGTACAGATGCTGTATAGCCTATGATTGTTTTTGTTTGTTATTTTTAATACCTGGGTTCGTTCTTTTTATGTGGGTCTATGAAAGGTTTAAATGTTCACTACATATTAGTCGCCAAACCCACTGGCTCCAGGTCATCTATAAATCACTGCTAGGAATCCCCGTCTTATCTTAGCTCACTGGTCACCATAGCAACACCCACCCGTAGTCTGCGCTCCAGCAGGTATATCTCACTGGTCATCCCCAAAGCCAACACCTCCTTTGGCCGCCATTCCTTCCAGTTCTCTGCTGCCAATGACTGGAACGAACTGAAAAAATCTCTGAAGCTGGAGACTCTTATCTCCCTCACTAACTTTAAGCGTCAGTTGTCAGAGCAGCTTACCGATCACTGCACCTGTACACAGCCATTCTGAAATTAGCCCACCCAACTACCTCATTCCCATATTGTTATTTATTTTGCTAATTTGCACCCCAGTATCTCTATTTGCACATCATCTTTTGCACATCTATCATTCCAGTGTTAATTATGAAATTGTAACTATTTTTGCACTATGGCCTATTTATTTATTGCCTTACCTCCATAACTTACTACATTCGCACACACTGTATATATATTTTCTGTTGTATTTTTGACTTTATGTTTTGTTTAACCCCATATGTAACTCTGTGTTGTTTTTATCGCACTGCTTGGCTTTATCTTGGCCAGGTCGCAGTTGTAAATGAGAACTTGTTCTCAACTGGCTTACCTGGTTAAATAAAGGTGAAATTAAAAATAAATGTAAAAAATGTCAAATCACATTTTATTTGTATGTGTGAGGGTGTGGGTAGAGTCCAGTGAGTGTGCATAGAGTGCCAGTGCAAGAGAGTCAGTCCTCCCCAAAAAATTTAGGCTACGTTTTATCTTCCTTCATGCACTCATGTAGACCATGTTAGTATGTGGAGGCCTTGTATTGAATTATGTTCTGTCCTTGAAGGACATTTTGCAAATTTTAAGAGATTTGTTATATACTGAACAAAAATATAAACGCAACATGCAACAATTTCAAAGATTTTACTGAGTTACAGTTCATTTGAAATAAATTAATTAGGCCCTAATCTATGGATTTCACATGACTGGGAATGCAGATATGCATCTGTTGGTTACAGATACCTTTAAAAAAAGGTAGGGGCGTGGATCAGAAAACCAGTCAGTATCTGGTGTGACCACCATTTGCCTCATGCAGTGTGACACATCTTCTTCGCATAGAGTTGATTGTGGCCTGTAGAATGTTGTCCCACTCCTCTTCAATGGCTGTGCGAAGTCGCTGGATATTGGCGGGAACTGGAACACGCTGTCGTACACGTCGATCCAGAGCATCCCAAACATGCTCAATGGGTGACATGTCTGGTGAGTAGGCAGGCCATTTTCAGCTTCCAGGAATTGTGTACAGATCCTTGCGACATGGGGCCGTGCATTATCATACTGAAACATGAGGTGATGGCAGCGGATGAATGGCACAACAATGGGCCTCAGGATCTCGTCATCGATAAAATGCAATTGTGTTCGTTGTCCGTAGCTTATGCCTGCCCATACCATAACCCCACCACCACTATGGGGCACTCTGTTCACAACATTGACATCAGCAAATCGCTCGCCCACACAATGCCATACACGTGGTCTGCGGGTGTGCTGCACTCACTAACTGTAAGTCGCTCTGGATAAGAGCGTCTGCTAAATGACTAAAATGTAAAGCCGGTTGGACGTACTGCCAAATTCTCTAAAACAACATTGAAGGTGGCTTATTGTAGAGAAATGAACATTCAATTCTCTGGCAACAGCTCTGGTGGACATTACTGCAGTCAACATGCTTGAGACATCTGTGGCATTGTGTTGTGTGACAACTGCACATTTTATAGTGGCCTTTTATTGTCCTGAGCGCAAGGTGCACCTGTGTAATGATCATGCTGTTTAATCAGCTTCTTGCTATTACATTATATACAGGTGGATGGATTATCTTGGCAAAGGAGAAATGCTCACTAACAGGGATTTAAACTAATTTGTGCACAAAATTGGAGAGAAATAAGCTTTTTGTGCATATGGAACATTTCTGGGATCTTTTTATTTCAGCTCATGAAACATGGGACCAACACTTTACATGTTGCATTTTATATTTTTGTTCAGTGTACATCAGCTGCTGAGTGGAGAGTGAATGCTACATTTTCTCCTGTGTGAATAGAAACATTATTGATTGTGTGCGTGGCGTGCGTGAGAGAGAGCGGGAGAGCGTGTGTGTGTTTATGTGCGTCAGCCAGTGTTATGTATAGCAGAGAATACATTGCCATCCCTGGTTGAGTAGAATCCCATGCCCCCTCACCCAACACTCATTACCCAACTCCATATCCCTCCACACTCAGTAAACAACATTGTGTTTGGGGGAAAATAATGTGCATATCATTATCTCCCTGAGAAGAAACTTAATCCCAATGCGTTTGCAGATTGCTTTCTTTGGCAGCTTGAGTTTATTCACACCCCTGTTCATTAGCTGGTGTTTTATTGGCCATAGACAATCACTATGCGGGAATGCTGTTACCCCGTTGGCTGCAGCCAGCATCCGGCCAGGGCTGTAAAGGCGGATTAACACTGTCAATGGAGACATGGGACATATGCAGCGGCCACCAACAGATAAGACAATGAGGACGGTATATCACTGTCAAAGGGACTTTCCGACAGTATTGAACTGAAACACACTTTTGTCATTCCTCTTTGATTTCTGATAAGATTTTATTCGTCACTTGCTTTGTAAACAACAGGTATAGACTAACAGTGAAAGGCTTACTTACAGACCCTTCCCAACAATGCAGAGAGAAAGAAAATAAAGAAATAATAGAAAAATAATAACACGTAATAATAAATACACAATGAGTAACGATAACTATATACACGGGGTACCAGTACCGAGTCGATGTGCCGGGGTACGAGGTAATTGAGGTAGATACAGTGCCTTCAGAAAGAACTCACACCCCTTGACTTATTCCACATTTTGTTGTGTTACAGCCTGAATTCTAAATGGATTACATAGATTTTTTTCTCACCCATCTACACACAATAATACCCCATAATGACAAAGTGAAAACATGTTTTTAGAAATGTTTGCAAATGTATTGAAAAATGCAATACAGAAATATACTATTTAAATACTTTATAGAAGCACCTTTGGCAGCGATTACAGCGGTAAGTCTCTAAAG